GGCAGGGGCAGGAGGGTTAGGCCCTAAAATCGTGCAAGGGTTGGGGGGCCTGGGGCAGAGGACGTACAGACACACGCCCCCCAATGCCTGGCTCTGGCGGGGAGTGGTGGATGGGGGGTTTGGCACTTGAGACCAGGCCTGGGCAGCAGGGGCATGCTGGCTCCTACTGTGGGGGGCGGAGTTGGGAGCCTGCCTGCTACGTTCACACTCTTCTGGGTGACTCTGCACCCGGCACACACGTCTCTGTTCTGTCTGTATAGAAATACTACCCACCGGACTTCGATCCTGCTAAAATCCCAAAGCTCAAACTCCCAAAGGACCGACAGTATGTGGTGCGGCTCATGGCCCCCTTCAACATGCGGTAAGAGGGGCTGTACCGGTCAGAAAGAAGCAGCTGTAGAAGAGAAGAGTTTGTTTAGGAATTGTTTCACCTCCGTACGCTGCAGGGGAGTGCTGCCAGCAGCCATTAGAGGTGACACAGACCAGAGAAAAGGGGTGAGGGAGAGGGAAGAGATGCTGTGGGTGATTTTGCGGTTCTTTGAAGAGTAGGTACTGAATTTCCAAAGGAGAAAATAATCATCGCTCAGAACCTGGGCTGACACAGCCTGAAAATCACTTGGACTTTTCTTCGTCTGTTTGTTCCCTTTTTTTGATGTGTTACAGACTTCTCTTTCTCCTTTTCTAGATGCAAGACGTGTGGTGAATACATCTATAAGGGGAAGAAGTTTAACGCCCGTAAGGAAACCGTTCAGAATGAGGTGTACCTGGGACTTCCTATCTTCCGCTTCTACATCAAGTGCACGCGTTGCCTGGCAGAGATCACTTTCAAGGTGAAATATGTTCTGTATTTTCTGTGCTCTTGCTTTCTGGGAAGGCTGTGCAGTCTGTGGACGTGACTGAGTGCTGACTCCATGGGAAAGGGGTGTCCCAGCAAAGACTGAGTCTGAGCGTGTGCTGTTCGGTGTATCTTCCCTTTTCATGGCCATTTGTAGGTCTGAAGTGTCTCACCCATCCGTGGGCTGCAGCACATCAGCTGGAGCAGAACAAAAGGCCGTGGGTGATTGTCTGCTCTGTGATGTGAATGAAATTGGGAAACGTTTGCATGCGGCTCTGGAAGTGGTCACAGGTTGGCGGAGCAGAATTGCCCCAGTACAATGATTTTGCTGTCTTGTTTCTTCATTAGACAGATCCTGAGAACACAGACTACACCATGGAGCATGGTGCCACTCGCAACTTCCAAGCTGAGAAGCTCTTGGAGGAAGAGGAGAAAAGAATGCAGAAGGAGAGGGAAGAGGAAGAGCTCAACAATCCCATGAAGGTACGAGAACACGCCCTTCTCTGCAGAAGGCAAACCTCTCTCCTGCCCTGGCTCGCTTTCCCCAGCAAAGCAGGTGACTTCGTAGCCGTTGGTTTAGTTCTCCAGGTTCCCGAGGTGTTGCTGTGCTCTGGACAGGCAGGAGCCAACTCTCTGCCCTCAGGAGGCTTCCTCCTGTGCTGGAACTTGTGACAGGCTGCATCTTGCCCCAGTTTTCCCTGTCCTATTAAGACCCAAAAACGAGGATGATGATGATCCTCTTAGTGCTTCCTTCCCGGGGGCGGGGGGAGGCTGTGTTCGAAATTGCTGGCAGGCTCTGCTACCTCACATGAGCCTGGCTTCCCTCTGGTCACTCAGGTCCTGGAGAACCGAACCAAGGACTCCAAGCTGGAGATGGAGGTTCTGGAGAACCTGCAGGAGCTGAAGGAACTCAACCAGCGCCAGGCAAACGTGGACTTTGAGGCCATGCTGAAGCAGTACAAGGAGTACGAGGAGGAGCAGAAGCGCAAGGAGCAAGAGGAGGATGAGCAAGAGATGAAGTGAGTGGGCTGGAAGCATTCACGGGCGTGTGAAATTGGCCACGCTGGCCCTGGCCAGGCAGGGCTGCGTCTCACCCTTTCCTCAGCAGCCCGAGAGCGCTTAAGAGAGGGCCCTGCCTGAGGGGCCTGAGTTCACAGGAGTTGTATGGGTGGGATGTAGTCCTGAGCGGGTTGTGAGGAGATTGGGGACAGTTTGTCATGGCAAAGTGTTTAGGGAGGTGGAGGGGTTTTGGTATCACTGGCCCATCTGGCGGGGAGATTCGGGCTGCTGCAGGGGCCTCACTCCCCCTGAGAAGTGTCCTCGCGTGGAGAGAGAGTTTCTGCACCTGGCTGAGGCTGCAGATCTCAGTGCTCTCAGCCTTCGGGCACTGCTTGAACATGACTTCTTAAAAAGCACCTGAGAAGGTGGATCCCGTTGCACCGCTGCTGAATTCCAGCTCCACTTATGGCAAACAGCGCAGGCACAGTGCACGGCTGGCACAGCTCAGCGTGGTGGTGGAATGGAGCCAAGTCTAACCCTCCACGTGCGGCCTCTCTCCTTGCAGAGCTATGCTGGAGCAGGCCCAGAACCGGCGACTGCTGGTAGACTCCGACTCTGACGAAGAGCCTGCGAAATCACGCACGAAGCCTGTGGCGAAAATTAAACCTACGGACATCTTGCAGGAGGTGAGCGGGCAGAGGCTCTTCCACCCATCACACCTCTTCCCCTAGACCAAATCCGCTGTCCTGGGCTGCATGTTGTCTATTCTGTGCCTGCGATGCTGAAGCTCTAATGCCTGTCACGCATGAGCAGCTTAGAAAGCCTGTGTCCTGTGCACTGAGCTGAAAGGAGACGGGGATCAGTTGGTGATTTTAAACCACGTCTGCTGACAAAGGCTGGGAGGGAGCTGCCCCCATCCTCGCTCAGGTTGTGGCTTCCCTTTCAGCTCAAAAAGGACGGGCTCGCCTATGCCTTGGTCGTATTTCAGCACTCTGAAAATTACAGCAGTGAAACCACTGCCTGGGACAGCCTCTCCTTTGGTTCTGTTTTGTCTGTGTTGGAGACATGCAGAACAAAAGAGCTTTCAGTGCCCGACTTGCAAGGGAGGGATTATCCCCACAGACAGGCCCCTGCACGGCTGCTCTCCGATGTCGATCTGTGTCTGCGGGGACCTCTGTCCGGTTGGATGAATCAAAGCTGCCGTGTCTCTAAGCCGGGCTGGGGTTAATCTGAGTGATGTTCCCTGGCCCGGCACTAATCCTCGTGCCCGGGGGAGTTTTGATTCAGTGGCTGGACCACCTGCAGGCACGCGGTGCTGGCTGGCAGAGGTTCTGCAGCCCTGTGGCATGTATCTGGCTCCTCGTCATCCCCGGGCCAGCATGTGGCTGTGCAAGGCTGGATTTAACCGTCACAGACAGCAGGACATTTGTCTCCAAGGGCTGTTTTGCAGCCGTTTAGATCCATATCCCTGTTGTTTGTCTAGCTTGTGCCAGTCACTGCGGGGGGAGAATACCCCCCTTGGCTGCTCCGAGCAGCTCTCCTCATGTCTCTTGTTCTTTGTGCTGCTGTTTTTACCACTCATCCCCCATCCCTCTGCCTCCCCTCCAAGGCCAGAGCACCCTAACGCCCCTGCTCTCCTCTGCAGGATCCTCAGCCCCAGAGTAAGAAGCTGAAAACCGAGAGCTGGGAGCGAAGTGTGGGCAAATTGAACACCAAGCCCCAGCTGGCCGGGCTGGTCACAGTGAAGAAGCGGAAGCCAGGTCCTGCCCTGGCTAATGGGACAGAGAACCAAGGCACCACGGCCAATGCTGGTAACTGCTCACGTGGGGATGGGGCGGCCTGCGCTGGGCCATCAGGGAGGGGTCTGGCAGCACCCAAGTGGCGTTTAGCTCTGTCTTCGGAGCCTGAATGCTCTCAGGTCAAGTGCTTATTGTGGGACAGATGGGGCTGTGATGCTGTAACAACAGGGAGTTGACCCTGTTTCCAGGAGGTGTCCTGATGGAGGAGAGGTTCCTTCTTGGCCCTTGGCGGTAAGCCAAGGCCTTGGAGACAGACTGTCAGGGCCGGAAGCTTGAAAACAGCATCTCGGTGCGCAGATACGATGCTGGGAACAGTCACAACAGCGAGATATGAATGGAAAAGCAAGAAAATTGCTTTGGTTTGGGGCCTGATTATAAAACCTGCCAAACTGTTGGAATTTGGAAGCTTTAAAGAAGTGGTGAAAACAAGCAGAAAGGCTTTCCAGCACCTCATAGTTCACTGCTCCAGGAAGTCAGAGGGTTTGGAGAAGGAGCTGATGAATTGATCGATTCTGGGCTGATTAGTCCTAAGCCTTTGGCTTAGTAAGTCCCTCTGCCCTCAGGGGATCCCTGGGGAAGGACAGCTCTTGCAGTTGCCCCGTTTTTGATATGCTTTCCCCAGCCACCTGCTCCTGGCTGCAGGCAGGGTCTGTTCAGTCAAATTATGCTGGAGGAGCTGCCCGTCTTTCAAGGACTCGGCTCTGAGCGGGCACGAGGCTCTCTGTCTGTGACGCTGCCTCGCGCTTGCAGCTGGCAGCTCGCGTGGTCAAAGCCAAGAGCTGGCTCCTCTCTTCCTTTCCAGCAGGTGAAATCTCTCGGGGTTGCAGAGGGAGAAGGAGGTTTTGCAGACCTTGGGCCAACCTTGTTGCTTCTCGTTGCCGCAAGGCGGAAGCAGGAGGCTGCAGTCGAGGGGACGCAGGGTCTCCTTGTCCGCCCGATTTAACCTTGCTGTCCTCATCAAGATTCAGGCCGGGAGGACGTGGCACCACTCGGGCTCTGGCTCCGGGTGTCTCGTCTCCAGCTGCGAGCAGCCAGAGCGGCAAGGCGGGCTTGTGTTTCCATGCGGCTGGTTGCACCGAGCTGGCGGGGTTTGCCGGCAATGGGGAGGGCCCTACCTGATGGTGCCTGCTCTCTCGCTCGGCTTCCAGGCTCGTTTCCCACAGCAACGGGCACCACGTCCTCTCTCGGCTTGTTGGGGGTGTATTCGGACAGCGAGGACAGCGCGAGTGACTGATGAGCGACCGAGCCAGCCCAGAGCAGGGATCGTGGGCTGTTCCCCCCCTCCCAGCTGATAGCAGCTGCTCTCCAGAGCCCCAGCGCAGAGCTGGCGTCACGGCCAGCAGGCCCGGCGGGGTTTCCGGGCCATCTGGAGTCCCGGCGTCTTCACCTGTCCGGCTCAGCGTGCGCGTCCATCCTACAACAAGGACGAGGCCCCAGCCGCCCTCCCTGCCTAACATCGCCAGCAGACCGAACCCGGATGAGCCGGTCGAGAAGAAGGTTTCCTCGGACGAGGGTATCTGCTGTGTTGCAGCCGGTGGAAAGCCCCAACACTGTCTCAGGCTGGCTGTGCCCAAACCCAGCTTCTAGCCACCCCCCAACGCCCATG